CCCCGACCAACTTTTTTTTTTTGCGCGCACAAATGACCCTACGTGGTCCCTTGCCTTCGCGCGACCACATGGCGCGTGCGCGCTCTGTTTTTGACGAGTGCACGCCCCTTAAAGCACTTTGAGCGCGTTTAAGCGCGGCAGGGGGGTCTTTAACCGCGCGCACTCGCCCTTAAGCTCGCTCAAACGGTTTCACATGACGGATGACGACCTTGCCCCTCCTAGGGGTCGCCATCCGTACCAGGCTGTCTTTCGATAGTCTTCACACACAATGCTTGGAATAATTCTTCGAATTGTTTCAAGATTGTGTTGGGGTCACATGTGAATGGTTGGTAGGGGTCAGTGTTGTTGAGTACCATCTTGGCGATACCTTTGCATTCGTGAGAGTTGAAGTCATTGATCACCATTGTACGTATTATATCTACTAAATTTATTGCTGCTTGTGTTGGACATGGTATAACAGTCATAATATTTATTTTTCACGGGATGAGAATCTTGAGTGATTGTAAGACCGGTCTGTTTGAGTCGTATTTAAGGAATCAGTTGAATGGGGGCGTGTTTTTTTAAGGTCGTAGGTTTTTTTACCTGTTTTGGAACGGATACATCCATCTGTGTTTTCTTTTTTGTCTTTCGTGTAGGGGTATTTTATTTGTGTGGTCTCTTTCTATTGTGTGGGTTAGTTATCAAAGGGGGACTTTGTGGGCTTATAGGTGTGTAACGGTTACCGTGTCTTGGCTTCATTTTTTATGTGTGAATTTTATTGGCTGTGTGTGCTTGTCTTTGTGTGCCAGTTTTAAAGGGGGTAGCTTGTATGTTTGTTTTGTATGTTGTTGTGTGAGTGTGTATATATGTGTGTATATAAGTGTGTGTGTGAGTGTCTTTTTTTTATCTGTAGGTATGTGTGTATGTGTGTCCCTCCCACTTTCCCACATGATGGGGGCCGCAGAGATACGGATGACAACCTTGCCCCTCCGTGGGGTGGCCATCCGTACCAGACTATCTTTCGATTGTCTACACATGCAACACTTCGAATAGATCTTCGAATCGTTCCAGGGTTGTGTTGGGGCCACTTACAAATGGTAGGTAGCTATATTGCACGTCCGGTCACGATCGGGGGCAAAAACTCGGCCGCGACCATGGCCGAACAGCCGAGTTTGGTACAGGATTTTTTTTTTTTTTTAATGCATGAAAAATATATATATATATATATGGGCGTGTAGGGCTCAAAAAAGTTGAAAAAACCCTACACGCCCATATTTTTTTTCGGGGCATTTCTGTTTTCTATTGTGTAAAAAAAAAAAAACTGCTTCGAAACCCCGCGCAAGTATGTGTGTGTGTGTGTGTATGTGTGTGTGTGAGTGTGTGTGTGTATGTGTGTGCGTGTGTGTGTGTGTGTGTGTGTGTGTGATCGGGTGGGGGGGGCGACCCCTCCCCACTAATCAATCAATCAATCAATCAATCAAAAAA